TGGAATCGAACCATGACCTCCTGGTTCCTAGGTTGAAGCTCAACCACTGAGCCACCCAGCCGGGCCATGAGAAAAATCAAAAATAGATTTTTTTTTCAATTGGAGGGATTAGCACCAGGCATGTACATTCCAGAACGGATGCAGGCAAGTCGCTCTGTAGTTAATAACTTTTGCTTCATTTTGTGAGAAAATATTGGTATTGCACTAATTTTTTAAATAGCACGGATAATTATACCCCCATTAATGATGTCAAATATTATTACCCAATACATCGTTCCAATTATCTCTTCTAAATTAAACAGCGGATCTCCAACAAGTTAATTTTAAATAATTATGCCGAATGATAATGGGACGGAGGGCGTGCCGGCGTCCTCCTGATGAACACGGAATCAAACACAGCCTGGTTTCCCGTCCCTGGTCCCTCAGCTTCTGCCCGCCCCCAGCTTCCCATCCATCAGTCACTGACCACACACATGATGCCCCGGACGCCCTGCAAGACTCAGTCACTCGCTGTCCACACCACCCCCTCCCTTGATGCTGGGATTTTGCATCTGTTACTCTTTTTATTTTTTTTAAAATATATTTTTATTGATTTCAGAGAGGAAGGGAGAGGTAAAGAGAGAGAGAGAAACATCAATGATGAGAGAATCATGGATCGGCTGCCTCCTGCACGCCCCACACTGGGGATGGAGCCCGCAACCCCGGCGTGTGCCCCGACCGGGAATCGAACCGTGACCTCCTGGTTCCTAGGTCGATGTTCAACCACTGAGCCACACTGGCTGGGGTAACGCTGCATTTTAATCGGCATCAACGCCAAGGTATGCCACAGGCTGGGTTTTGTTCAGCCTGTTAGCATGCAGAATTATTTTACACTGTGGGACGCCGTCGTTCCCCAACCAAGAGAACAAACAAAACAAAGAAAGCAGAACTAATTGAGATCGTCATATCTCAATAAATATGCAAATGAAAAAAAATCAAAACAAAGAAATTCTATTTATCACATCATAAAGCTGCAAATCGCTGTACCGGCTGGCTCGGAGGCATTGCGAGGGATGGAGGCTCCTTAAGGGCTTTGCTGAGAGACTGTTAGAGAGCTGGGCCTAGGGGTTTATCTCTGAGGAGGAGGAGGAGGAACTGGCCAGGATCACAGTGTTGTCAAGCCTTGTTCCCAACGCTGTGGGGAGGCCAGGGGGGTAAAAATTCATGTGTGTTCGTAGGCCACGTTCTGTGCGATGACATTAGTTCTCCTTCACATCGTGTCAAGAACAAAGCTAGTCACGTGCCCATTTCACAGAGGAAACTCGAGGAAGGCGACCTCTGAGTGTGTGTCTGCAGGATATCAGAGCAGTCAGGTGAACAGGAAGACACGGAACCAATTTCTAGTGTTTTCCCCACGCATTTCCCACAGTTGAGTATTAAGAGTCACCCTATTGATGGAAGCATAGTTTGATTTCTGCATAGTATTACTTATTTTTTTTAAACATTTTTATTGATTTCAGAGAGGAAAGGAGAGGGAGAGAGAGAGAGAAACATCAATGGTGAGAGAGAATCATGGATCGGCTGCCTCCTGCACGCCCCCTACTGGGGACCGAGCCTGCAACCCGGACATGTACCCTGACCGGGAATCGAACCGTGACCTCCTGGTTGATAGGTCGATGCTCAACCACTGAGCCACACCACCGGGCAGAGTAAGGTTCTTTATGAGGATGGGGATTCCCTGGGATGAATAAACAGGCAATAAGATGACTACCTGTCAGAGAGTCCTCACTGCTGTGGGCGTAAGGGCAGTGCCGCTATCCGTCTTCAAACCAGTAGAGGCCAACACGCATAGAATTGCTGTTACCTCGGGCATTGCTGTTCGGCAAAAATACGTCACCTGTCAGACGCAGCGCGAAGGACGTCGCTGGAACAAAGGACGGAAAGGCGAGGGGCCTGCTGCTGCTCTCGGAAGATTCTAAAGAGGAGGACGCACACTTTTCTGTCAAGACGGGCGGGGTGGGCAGGAGCGATAGGGCCGTTTTATTGCGTTTTGCTAGACTTGCGCGCAATTTTGCTCAAAGGAAATAAGATGATGGGCTGGGTGGTGGCAGGACCCTTGGCAACCCCGACCCCTCGCCGGAGACACTTGATACCAGCCGTTTATTATTATTATTTTTGTATGTTCGTCCCCTTTTCTCCCACCCCCCTTTTTTTAGTAGATTCTATCCTAATTCTTGTTGCTTACCTGTGATTATGGTTTCCATAATTTTTAATCACCTTGCTCAGCTTTATAGATGTGCTCTTCTTATTTTTTATCTTTGATCTTAGATGCTGACTAACTAGTTGATAACTAAATAATTTGAATGAATGAATAATGAATGAATGGATGAATGAATGGATGAGAATGGGCCGAATACCAACAAACAAGTCTTGTTTGCTTGGCAACGTAGTATTTATCTTCTCGACGATGCTGTGCTGGCTGGTAGAAGGCTGGGGATCTCGGTTTGTTTGCTTTCTTCCTTCCTCCTTCACATGAAGACATTTCATGTGAATAAGAAGTTGTTGGCGTCATGGAAACCGAACCTGCGGCCCTACTGTGCTCACGTGATACCTGGTGCCCTGATGAGTATGTTTGTCCCCTCTCTTCACTTCCCCCCCCAACTTCCCTAGTGGTTGCGTTGCGTTGCGCCCGTACTTTTGTCAAAAAAAACCAGTTGGTTTTGCTCGCGTGGATCTGTTTCTGGGTCCTCTGTTTCGTGTTATTGATCTATCCGTCTACACCCGGGCCAGCACCGGGCCGTTTTGCTGATTGTAGCGACATAATCCGTCTTGAAATGGACTGGAGTGAGTCCTCCCACTCTGTCCTCATTCCCAAAACTATTTTAGGTATTTTTAGTTCTTCCGCCATTTCCATACGCATTGTAGGGTCATCTTGTCTGGATCCACACAAATCTTTTTGGAACTTCAATGAGAATTGTGTTAAATGTGTTTATAGCCATTTGGGGGGAATTGACATCTTTACAATGTTGACTCCTCTAGGCCAGTGATGTTTCTCCATTTATTTAAACTTTCTTTGATTCTTATCCACAGATTTTATATATATTTTTTTAGCATACAAGTGCAGTACCTGTTTTGTTCTATTGACACCTAAGTATCTCTCTTTTTTTTTTTTACTGATTATAAATGTTTACTGATTTTTACATGCTCATTGTTACAAGTACAATTGATGTTCCTACGTTAATCTTGTAACCTGTGATCTCACTGAGCTCTCTTATAGTTCTAGAGGTGTTTTTTTTTTAAAACTTTTATTGTTCTTGTACGTTCTTCAATAGAGACCATTTTATCTTTTGCTTTCCTATCTACATGTCTTTTATATTCTCTCCCTGTCTTGTCATGCTGGCTAGAACTTCCAGTACTATGTTGAAAAATAGCAATGGGGAGAGTAGACATTTTTTAAAAAATACATTTTTATTAATTTCAGAGAGGAAAGGAGGGACAGAAATATCAATGATGAGAGAGAATCACTGATCGGCTGCCTCCCGCACGCCCCACACTGGGGATCGAGCTCGCAACCCGGGCATGTGCCCTGACCGGGAATCGAACTGTGATCTCCTGGTTCATAGGTCAGCGCTCAAGTAGGTGCCGTGGAGGCGAACTTCGCACTGTCCCCCTCCTCTCTGTTCAGGCACAAGCATCCCCCAGGACCGACAGTTTAGGGCACCAGGCGCCCGGGAGGCATGCAGGCAGCTCCCGCCCGTCAGTAGGTAGTGAAGACACGGCCCCGGTTCACTTTCCCAGCGGATGTGCGACCACGCCGTGGATTACCTGTGTTCGTCGTTTATGGCGCAGCAGGTGTCTGAGCAGCTCTGTCCGGTTGATGAAGCGCTTGCCTTCTACACATCACGGCGTAGGAGCCCAGCACACGGTGAACCCTCATTGGTTAAGTCCTAAGTAGGGAGCGACGAGAAAGTCCTCGGGAAAGGAGGTACCTCGTGCAAATGAAGGAAATAACAGCAGGTCCTGGGAGGAAATTCCCTTCGTCCACGTTGTACGGTCAATATTTGTTTTCTGTTTCTGTCGCCCCCTTAGATCTCTCGCTGGGTGTCTCATCTATGTATATAAAAGCCTAATATGCAAATTGCCCCTGTGGGAGTTCTACCAGGAGAATGATCGCTCGCTATGACGTGCGTTGACCACCAGGGGGCAGTGCGGAACGAAGGAAGGCCCCGGCCAGCAGCCAGCAGCTAGGGAGGGGTGGCCCCGATCGGCGGTGATCACCAGCCAGGCCTAGGGACCCTATCTGTGCGTGAATTTCATGCACCCGGCCTCTAGGTTGTGAATAAACTGACAGGAGAGATGGGGTTGGGGGGGGAGGGAGAGACATAAACATAGTCCAGATGCTATTTCCCTACTTGCTCTCTGGTTTATGCATTTCAACCTGGACTCATGTTCTCATCCCAATAAACCGTTCATGGTGAGGAAGGGGAGCTATGCCGTACGACTCATGCGGTCGGAATGCGAGATGGGCGGGTTTTGAGTCCTGCCCGCCCCCCGTTCCAGTCCCTCCGTGTCCTGGGAGCGAACACGCCAACCCCGGACGAGCCATCGCAACCACCTCTGGTCGCTCACATCGAGCCCAGAGGACCCTGAAGACCTTGTCCACGTCCTGAGCCTGGGAACCTCGTGACTGCAGGGTCCGCCGGCTCAGGAGGGAGGCGGCTTCGGTTCTGTGTGGTTTCCTCCCTCTGTCCCCAGGGAGCGGGCGACACCCGGGTGCTCTGAGAGCCGCCCGTTCCGGGCACAGGGACGCCGGGGTTCCCCGCCCAGAGGAGACGAGGCCCGCTCTTCGCTTCTGTCTGACTTCTTTCTACGTGTTCCTTCCTCTGGGTAACTTCTCTTTCCTCTTCCTCTCTCCCTTTCCCCGTCTCTGTGCCTCCTCCCCTCTGTACGTCTCCTTCCCTTTTCCTTCCCTTCCTTCTCGTCCTTCCTTTCTCGTCCACGTGGCCCGGGGACCCGCGCAGATGCAGCGGCGGCGGCGGCGGCGGCACCGTGGAAGTGGATGACGAGCCCCCGTGCTTGGAGGAGATCGACTACGGCCCCGACAGCAGCTCCGACCAGGAGGGGAGCTGCTCTGAGCTGGACCAGCAGATCCGGGAGTGGGCCTCCCTCCAGGACCAAGATGAGGGGGAGGAGGAGGAGGAGGAGCAGGAGAAGGAGGAGGAGGAGGAAGAAGGGCCGGGACTGGGAAGAAGAGACAGCCCATAGCCCCCAGGTTCATGGCGAGCTCCGTGACTGCAACCATTGGACGAGCAGCTGTGTGATTCCTTCGCCGTCGGACACGCACACGATGTGGGTGCCAAAGCCAGCCCCTGTGAGCCCCGCAGCCCCGTTTCTAGATTTAGTCCTGTTGCACAAAGCACAGAGGCCGGTGGAACTTTGTCATGACGCCCTTCTCCACGCACAGTTCACAGAGCCACGTGCCGTCCTCACGCGGACACGCGACCCAGGAGCCCGGCGTGCGTGCAGTCGTCATGCCTGCTGTCCCTCTCGACAGCACCTTCTGCGTCCAGCGCTTTCCCCACAGGGCTCTGCCCTGGTCCGGAAATCCCACATCCGTCGTCCGTGGGACGGCATTCAGACTTCCTCCGCGACACACACACAGCTGTGAGGGAAGTGACGGGACCCCGTTCCAGTCCACGCTGACGGCGTCCCGCCGCCTGTCCCGTCTGCGCCGTTTCTGCTCTCACAGCCTGCGTTTCACCGGTGCACGAGGTCGAGAAGGTCATCTGGTCGAAATGTGCGTTCTGGGAGGGAGAGACGTCGTGCGGACTCGAGGTCGCCAGCGTGCGTCTCCGCTCCCAGCCGTCTGTGGTGTCGCCTTCTCGTCATCGAGTGTGTTTCTGAGAGGAAGTGACCCGGGCGGGTGGCTGTCCGGGGGGCGTGTCCGGGAGCAGCAGGAACTCGGACTGTTTCCTACACACACAGCTGTGAGGGAAGTGACGGGACCCCGTTCCAGTCCACGCTGACGGCGTCCCGCCGCCTGTCCCGTCTGCGCCGTTTCTGCTCTCACAGCGCGAAGAGCGCACCACGGCCGGCGTTTCACCGGTGCACGAGGTCGAGAAGGTAATCTGGTCGAAACGTGCGTTCTGGGAGGGAGAGACGTGAGGACTCGAGGTCGCCAGCGTGTGTCTCTGCTCCCAGCCGTCTGTGGTGTCGCCTTCTCGTCATCGAGTGTGTTTCTGAGAGGAAGCGACCCGGGCGGGTGGCTGTCCAGGGGGCGTGTCCGGGAGCAGCAGGAACTCGGACTGTTTCCTGATTCATGGACGTAACGCATTGATGTGACGCACCTGCCGTGCCAGGCCCTTCGCTACGCTCCGCGGTCGCAGAGAGAAGAGACCCTCTGTGTCCTCATGTCGCTCACAGTTCAGACAGAGAGACAAACAAAAAAACAACCCGTTTTATTGTAATATAGCCGCACCTGCCATGATGGAGCTAGACAGAGAGAGGAGAATATGGGGTCACCTAACGTAATGGGGGGGCAGGGGAAGCCGACCAATAGGAGATGATAAGTTAAGGCGGAGAATACGGGGTCACCTGATGTAATGGGGGGGCGGTAGGGGAAGCCGACCAATAGGAGATGATAAGTTAAGGCGATTCTTGAAGGACACGCAGGAGATTTCTGGTAAAAAGAAAAGCAAGCCTGGCTGGTGTGGCTCAGTGGTTGAGCGCCTACCAATGAACCAGAAGGTTACGGCTCAATTCCCAGTCAGGGCACATGCTCAGGTTGCGGGTTCGATTCCCAGTAGGGGGTGTGCAGGAGGCAGCCGATCCATGAGTCTCTCTCATCATTGATGTTTCTCTCTCTCTCTCTCTCCCTCTCCCTTCCTCTCCGAAATCAATAAAAATATATTTTAAAAAAACAAAACCATGCTAAGAACGAGGAAGAGTTTGTGCAAAGGCCCTGTGGTGGGGTTAGAGCTTGGAATAAAACGTTTCATGGGGCGGGTTTAAAAGGTGTGTTTGTATGTGGAGACAGGAGTGTGGCAGGAGTTGAAATGGGAAAGATCGACATCAATCGGATGAAGCAACATACACACACACGCATGCACACATGTGCACATACATGGGTGTGCACACACGCATGCACACACACACACCATTGCTGAGCCACACAGCTACCTCAACGGCCTCTTTGATTTTTTTCAAGCCTCCCATGTTTTCCTGTCTCCGATAGGGTCTCCCATAGCATCACCCGGGGGTACCAAGACCCAGTTCACATATCACCTTTCTTCCGTCAAACCTTCCCTAGTTGCCTCCCTGGTCACCTCACCTCTCCTCTGTGCCCCGTTGCACGGTCAGTACCCCCCCTCTGTGGCATGCTTCATGCGTACGTACAGCCCCATCCCGCCGGCCCATGAACGCAGAGCTCTCGGGTGCACGGGCCTGCTCTTACCTTGCTCCCTGTCTCTGCACCTTGACACGTGCAAAGAGCTCCAAAGTGTGTCTTCTTCCCGGCCTCCAACCTGGACACCCAGGGTGTGCCTGCGAGCCCACGCAGTTCCCTTAAATCCCTCCCTTCCCCACCGGCCGTGGGCGCGAGGTGCAGAATGGTTTCGGTGAGAGCGCATCTGGCCTGGCGAGCTGGGGGCTGCTGCGGGAGAATCTCCCCGCGGGAGGTGAGCCTGCCCGGGAGCAGGGTGGCCCGGTCCTTGCCTGCTCTGTGAGGTGTTTACATAAAGCTCTGAGAGGAGAGGGACCGAGCGTGTAGCGCCTCTCGGGGGGCAGCCTGCATCGAGGCGCTCTGGACCGAGGGCTCACGTCTGCACGGGCACTGGGCCAGCCTGGCGTTCAGAGCCCAGGAATGCCAGCCTGCGCCACGGCTTCCTCTGGGGCTCTCGTGAAAGACTCCGAGCCGCGAGCACATTGGCCAAGAGCCTGACGCTCGGGTCTCAGGCTCACGCGGAGGGTTGTTGCCAAGGCAAGCCAGGTGCCGTCGCCGCTCTTTTGCTCCCTTGCCTCCACCGCGGTGCCTCCTTCCATGCTCGTTGTGAGGAAAGGTGTCCTCCTCCAGGCAGTCTTCTGGGATTTGACCCCGAGTCTCCACAGCATCTTGTAGAAAACCCTGCCGGAGTTTAGGTTTTGTTGCATGGCATTGCCTGGGGACATTGTCCCTGTCCCCACACCCCATCTCCCACCCGCCACCCCCACCAGCATCAGACTGTCCATTCTTGGAGAACAAAACGTTTTTGTTCACTCTGTATCCTGAGGGCCCAGCCCTGTGCCCAGAACACGGTGGGTTTTTATGCGCTACGTGCTGCAGGATGGAGATCTTCATTTCCGCTCCGAAGGCCTCCTGAGGATGACCTCCCGCCCGTTGCCGCAGTAACCTATTAAACATAGATGGTGGAGCGGCAGGAAAGTAGGGCACGCCCGTGCCCGCACACTCGGAGCAGCAAGCAGGCATCCGGGAAGCATCCCTCTCTCTCAGCCCCCCGTCTGCGCTGCCGTGCCCCCCTGCTCTGTAATTTTCCAGAAGCGCCTTCTTTTTTTTTCTTTTCTTTTTTCCCTCCAAACGGCCTGTAGAGGTCAGAAAAGGGCCTTGGTTCCAGGTCCCGGACTGCCCCGTCCCCATTAGCATGCACCCGGGCGTCTGTAATTAAGCAGCCCTCCCTGCTGCCCAGGGGAGCGGAAATGCATTGACGTGGATCCAGCAGAGTGGAGCACAACTGGGGGTGGACTCGGGCCTTGTTTGTTCTTTGCACACTCGCGATGCTGGCTCGGCGGTTCCCAGTCAAAGGGACCGTTGTCCTGGGCCCTGAAGCGCGTCCCTTCTGCTACGCTGACCGGCCAGTCCGCGGAGGCACCAGCTCACCAGCTCCTTGAGCTCGACTCTCTGCAAAAAAAAAAAAAATCTTGTGTTTCTTTCTTTTTGAAAAAAAAAATTATTTCAGAGAGGAAGGGAGAGAGAGAGATAGACACATCAGTGATTAGAAAGAATCAGGGATCGGCTGCCTCCTGCACGCCCCACACTGGGGATCGAGCCCACACCCCGGGCATGTGCCCTTGAACTGAATCGAACCCGGGACCCTTCAGTCCGCAGGCCGACGCTCTATCCACGGAGCCACACCGGCCAGGGCTGTTCTTGTATTTCTTACAGGAAACGAAGGGTGTGTGGGGACCAAGAGAGGAGCCCTGTGATGTTCAAGGCTTTTGTGTGTGTTTCTCGTGCGTAAGTGCAATTCGGAACCCGGAAAAAAACACGTACGGACGGCCCCGGAGCCGGGGACCCCGTTTGACATGTGGGAGATGATGTGTGTGTTCCCTGAGCCGCTTCCCGTCCACAGGAGAGGGCATCCGCCGAGGAGTTACGGGTCCCTCTGGTCCTGGGACGATCGTGCATGACCTTGGGGATGGCCTTCATTTCTCCGAGCCGGATAAAATGTAAGGTTGCTGCTATTTCTGATCGTCGTGGGCGCCGTGCGTGCTGGCCAGCCAGAGAG